AACCAAGATGGAGTCACCAGTCTACAGTTCCAGGCACCCGAAGCTAAGCTGCTTGTCTGAAATCAGGATTAGGGAGGTGACAACCAATGTCCCCAACACGCCAGCTTCAACTGGCACGGCCACCAGCCTCTCTGCCTCAATCCTTACACCAAAGGTCCCCCCAAGTCACCTGATAGCAACCCATCGGTTGTTTTTCTGTCTCCCTGTCCCCGCCTAATGGTGACTTTGAAATGACCGATGGCTCTTTCTTTGGCCCTTTTCTGTCTCTAAAGCCGACTCCTCGGCTGGATCCATGGAGCCTTATTGTATTAAACTTTTCTTTTTCTTTTTACGGTACGGAGGATTGACCCCAGGGACACTCGACCACTGAGTCACACCCCCAGCCCGTTTTTCTATTGTATTTTGAGACAGGATCATCACTGAGTCACTGAGGCTGGCTTTGAACTTGCGATCCTCCTGTCTCAGCCTCCTGAGCCCCGGGGATCACAGGCAAGTGCCACCACACCCGGGCCCTTATTGTATTACGTAGAACAAGCTTTGCCTGTTCTAGAATTGAAACCAAAGCCGATTAAGGCCTTCACACTCGGTTTTTGTAATGCCGTCCTTGGACAATTTGTTCACCTGTGACTGTACGGAGGCCTCTGTTGGTGACAGGGCCCCAGGCCAAGGACGCAGCCTCCCGCCTCGGTCCCAGGCACGGCACCTTCTGGCACAGAGCGGGTCCTCAGAGACCTTATCTAATAAACAGGTGAACCGGAACAAATCCCCCGGGGATGGACACAGATTCAAGCTTTAAAAGTGCAGTTTGCACGGCTCAGCAGTTCCACACCTGGGAATTTGGTTCAAGGAAACGTTTTCGGGAGAGTACAAAAATATTTAATTACAAGAATGTCCTACCACCGCTGCGCTCGCCGCGGGCCCGGTGGGCTTGGTGGGGAACACGGTGAGAGAGGTTTGGCCTCCACAGCCTGGTTGGCAAGACTCCTGCCAATCACGGGGACAGGCGGTTTTGGTCCACGGTGGAGCAGTTTTATTACTTTTGTGTATCTTTAGACACAAATTTGACTATTTTCAGAAATTGTGGGATTTTGAAAATTTGTAATTCCCTTTGGGCCAGGTTGGCATGCTCTGAGGGGAAGAGGAGGAGGAGGAGAAGGAGGAGGAGGAAGGGGAGGAGGAGGAGGAGGAGGAGGAGGAAGGGGAGGAGGGGGAGGAGGAGGAGGAGGAGGAAGGGGAGGAGGAGGGGAGGAAGAGGAGGAGGAGGAGGAGGAGGAAGGGGAGGAGGAGGGGAGGAAGAGGAGGAGGAGGAGGAGGAAGGGGAGAACGAGGAGGAGGAGGAGTTGTTATGTCTATCTATATGCAATATGGTAGAGACATGTGCCTTGGTTTACGTCAAAAGTTGGTCATTACCCAGGAGCGGTGGGGCGTGCCTGTTTTCCCAGCAACGTGGGAGGCCAAGGCAGGAGGATCACAAGTTTGATGCCAGCCTCAGCAACTTAGTAAGACAGTGTCTCAAAATAAAAAGGGCTGGGGGTGTGGCTCAGTGGTAGAGTGCCCCTGGGTTCAATCCTCAGTACTGCTATCATTCTATCAGGCAGGGCTCTGCAAAGACACAGAAATAGATTCCTAAAGGAGTTGGCTCACATGACGTGTGGGAACGATGGAGTCTAAATTTTGCAGGGCAGCCTGGAAACTCCGACAGGAGTCAGCGTAACAGTCTGAACTCTGAAGAGCAGGCTGGCAGAGGTTGAGGCAAGACTTGTACATTCCTGTTTTGAGGCAGAATTCCTGCTTCTCCTGAAAACCTCAGTTCTTGCTCTGAGGTCTTCAACTGATTGGATAAGACCCACCCACCCACATGATCCACCGACATGATCCCTTAATTTACAGTCAACTGGTTGTAGATGTCAATCACAGCCACCAAATACCCCTTCAAGGGTACAAGTAGATCCGTATTTGCTCAAAGAGTGCCCTGGAGCCCAGGCAAATTGACACATAAAATTTAACTATGATGACTTAGGTGGGAAAAATTTTAAGGTGCAAAACAGAATAATTGGGTCCTCTTTTTAAAGATGAACATGGGTACAGAAAAGAAACCAGGAAAGAGGCACACCATCCTATTAATGATGGTTGTCAGGGAGGGTCTGATAATGGTTGGTTTCCTTCCGGTTCTCCATTTTGCCTAAGAATAGTGCCTGCTCCTTAAAAGAAGACTCATAAATACCAAGAACAATAAAGGAAGAACTGTCAATGCCCTTCAACCAAGGTCACCCAGGAAGATATCTGCTGCTCAATGGGTGGGGATTTTTTTTTAAATTTATTTGGTCTAATTAGTTGTACATGACAGCAGAATGCACTTCGATTCATTACACACAAACGGAGCACAATTTTTCACATCATTGGTGTAGTCCTACATGTACCTGGGGTAACGGTGTCCATCTCATTCCACCGCCTTTCCCACCCCCAGCCCCCTCCCTTTCCTTCCTCCCCTCTGCTCAATCCAAAGTTCCTCCACTTTTCCCACGCCCCCCACCCTACTATGGGTCAGCATCCACTTATCAGAGAGAACATTCGGCCTTTGGTTTTTTGGGATTGGCTAACTTCACTTAGCATGATATTCTCCAACTCCATCCATTTACCAGCAAATGCCATGATTTTATTCTCTTTTATTGCTGAGTAATATTCCACTGTGTATATGTGCCATGATTTCTTTATCCATTCATCTACGGAAGGGCATCTAGGTTGGCTCCACAGTTTAGCTATTATGAATTGAGCTGCTCTAAACATTGATGTGGCTGTGTGCTGGGAGCCATTAGCCAAGTAGGTATGACAATTTCCTTGCCAGCGTACCCCATGTTGCAGTGACATTGAATGTACGTGACCTTGCTCAAGGACCAAGGCAGATTAGGGTGTTCCCGGTTTTAAGATAATCTTGTTTAGGGCGTTCCCAGTTTAGGTTCCAGGTTTAAGGTTTAAGATTATTCCTGCTGGGAATAGGGCGTATCCTGCTGCCTGAGTTCCCCTTGAGTTCTCACGGGATTCAGACAGTATATTTTGGAGATAGAAGCCCAGTGGAGGTGAATTTGGGAAGAGAACGTGGATTTCCCCAGAACGTGATTGTAGACGGCTGGTGTGAGTTCTGGAATAAAGAGTTGCTGTTTGAATCTACAAGCTGTGTGGTGGCTCGTGATTGTGTGCCCAGCCAGACTGCGGCATTTGTGCCCAGCCAGACTGCGGCAGCTGTGTCCCTGTAGTGTGCTGATTTTAAGTCCTTTGGGTATAGACCGAGGAGTGGGATAGCTGGGTCAAATGCTGGTTCCATTCCCAGTTTTCCAAGGAATCTCCATCCTGCTTTCCAGAGTGGGTTGCACCAATCTGCAGTCCAGGTTGGGTTTCTTTGGGAATTACTGTTCTCTCGTTGTACGTTCCTGTGATGCTGGGGATTGAACCCAGGGCCTGGCACCCTCCAGGAGCGAGGCCACCTCTCCAGCCGGGCGTGTGACCTGTTGCGGGAGAGAGCAGGGGTGCTGGGGAGAGCCAGGGAGCCCCCCAGGGTCAGGAAGAAGCCAGAGCTGGATCCGGGTGTTGGTGGGCAGCCGGGGTGGGAGGGTGGGGGTGGAGAGGTGCAGGAAGTGGGCCTGCTCCAGGTTGGGTGCTGTTGGGCCGTGGATCCGACTGTACGGCGGCTCTCTAACCCTAACCTAAGTAAACCTGATGTACGCGGGAGGCAGACTCCGTGAGGACAGGGCTGAGGGGCAGACAAATAGCAGCCACCACGGGAGCCGAGAGGGGGACACTGCACTGTCAGGGGACTCGGTGGCCTTGTTTGGGGTTCAGTTTTCCGGGGACAAAGTGGCTCCTGTGACGATGTTGGTGTCCTGGGAGGTCCCGTCTGTCCAGTGGGGACACAGTTTGCCCTGGGGTCAGCTCCTGATGAGAGGAAAAGAGTGGAAAGTTTTTAGGCAGTGGCCGCTGGGTGGCTTCCTTCTCAGTCTCACACGGGTCATGAGTGATTGGAGACTCGGTGACCCTGAGAAGTCGGGGGGAAGCTAAAACAAAATTAGACAAAACAGAGATGATCGTGCTGAAAGATGAATTTTTTTAAAAAAGAAACCTGGAACATCATTCGGGGCAAAATCTCCCCTTGGTGAACAAAAACTTCCTCTGTGTCAACATCGTAACTAGACCTTTCACGTCACCGCGTTCAACAGGCCCACCCACCGACAGCCTGACGGGGCTGCCTCTGGCCACGGCTCCTCCCTGGATTGATGGTAAACTCAGCGATGACCTAACCCTAAGCCAAACAACCCGAAGCCAACCGTGGGACAGCCAGGAGGACCACAGCTCATCCAATGACAGCATCCTGACACGTGTCTTGGGAAAGGAGTGGACGAGCCCACTGCAGCGCTGGCCCTACAGCAAACTGCAGGCCTCAGACCAGCAGGGCCACATACTCTTCTCTTCAAAACCATCCACAGGCCGGGCACGGTGACACACGCCTGTCATCCTAGCCGCTCGGGAGGCTGAGGCAGGAGGATCGTGAGTTCAAAGCCAGCCTCAGCAAAAGCCAGGCGCTAAGCAACTCAGTGAGACCCTGTCTCTAAATAAAATACACAATAGGGCTGGGGAGGTGGCTCAGGGATCGAGTGCCCCTGAGTTCAATCCCTGGTACCAAAAAAAAAAAAAAGTTTTTAAGGTGTACTCGGGACACACACTGCTCACTTCTAACACATGCATTCTGGTGTGTTTAAATATCCACGCAGTCTGTGACTGTAACCAACGTCCAGTAATGGACATCCTTCGCCTGAAGGTGCCCCTTCCCGCCCTCCCTCCTGCCCGCCTACCCCCCCTTCAGGTGACCTCCCATCTGCCTCCTATCAGGATAGACCAGTTTGCACTCTCTAGAATCTTCTGCTTCTCCCTTGGGCAGATGCGGCACGTTTTATGTATTTACTGACGGTGGACTTTGCTCCAGTTTGGAGCTTTTCCACGTACAGCGGCCGTGGACGTCCTGGGGTGGACACGTGCTCTCCTTGCTCCCGAGCGAGCCCCGGACAGAAGGGCTGGACTTTGTCTTTCTGATCCCTGAGCAAAGCAGGGCTCCTCCCTGAGCCACCTCCCTGCCCTGACCTTGTTTTAATCCCGGAGAGAAGCCTTGGCCTCAGCATCTTTAGGAGGGACCCAGGAGGTGGGGTGTGGGCATCAGCCAGGCCGGGATGCCAGGCCAGGACGCGGGGAGGGTCCCGTGGAGAGCCAGACCCCCCTCTGGTGCAGCCTGGTGAGCAGGTGTGGGGTGGGGGATCCAGTGAGCAGATTTGGACTTGATGCAATTTGGTGGGTTTCAGTAAATCTTCCATTAAAGACCGAGTGTCAGGGAGGCTGCTGGGGAAGAGGCAGGGGCTGGGGTTGAAGCCGGGACCCTGGAGAGCCCTGGAGGAGGGGGAGCCGGAGGCAGGAGGAGGCCTAGCTGGGGCTGTGACATTGTCATCTACGAAACGCCTCCCGTCAGGACTGCGGCCTCTGCAGCTCTGGGGAAATGACAGCCCGGAGGATTGCATCCGAAATCCTGCAACAACAAACTGTTTCTAGAGTCTCCCAGCTACAGAGCTCCCCAGAGGCCCCTGAGCCAGCCAGCCAGCCAGCAGAGGCTCTCTCTGGGAATTCTTGATCATGTTTAACAAAAGAAGCCCGGTGACATGCAGAGGCTGCTGGAGGGGACCCCGGCGCCTCTCAGGGTGCACATGTGTGAGACCCTCTCTGGTCTCCCTGTGGTCACCGTCTCAGCCTCTGCAATAACTTGGGCAGCTTAGCTCCGGGCCTCTTGCTGGCTTCCTAGCTGCCCAGGGCAGTAGCCTTCTCTTGGTTCTCGCCCTCCTGCTCTCGGGCAGGGTCTGGCCTTGCCGCCCTCCTCCCCCTCCGGGGGGGCTCTTTGTAAGGTCCGCACAGGGTGGCTCTTCTACCTTCGCAGGCTGACGTCCCTGGAACAGAGGGGAGGGCAGCTGGACTGGGCAGGGAGGAGCCCTGTTGATCGGCCTCTGGAGGAAGCCCGGTGCTGCAGCAGAAGTCATTCTGACAGGTCCCCAGCAGCTGGGGACATGACCCCTGTCCCCAGGAGGATGGCAGCACAGCTGTGCCCAGGACACCTCCCTTCTCCCCAGCTGCTCTCTTCCCTGTCCCCGCTGACCCCTGTACTCTGGCCCCGGGCTCTGCCCTTCTGTTCTTTATTTACAATCTGTAAACCCTCATAAAAGAAGGACAGAGGGCGGCAGCACCCACTGGGTGACCGCGTGCACTTTAGCTCACGAGCTCGCTGAAGTCCTCAGGAGCCCGATGGCATTGGCGGGTACAAAAACGGCATTCTGTAGCCAAGGAAAGAGCCAGAGAATCGGGCACGTCCCCTCCTGCCTCAGTCACCTCAGGCTCTTAACTCAGCACGGTGGCCTTGCACAGTCTGCCCCGAGGGTCCCTTTCCACAAGTTTCCTTCTTGGTCCTGCCCAACCAGTCCTGGGCGCCCCGCCTGCCCTGCTCCAGACTCCCGGCCAGCTGTCACTCACAAGCTCGGTTCCCTAGCTCTTGGGGCTGCGTGCGAGGCGCTGGAGATGCCCTGCTGACCAGGCAGGGCCTGCCCCGCCCTCCCTGCAGAATCGCAGCTGAACAGGAAAGAGGAGGGTCATTCGATGCCTGCCATTTGCCAAATGTATTTCATTCCAACTTCGCCCTCAGAGGAAACGCCGCCCGCCCGTGTGTTGAAAGAAGAGGATGCACACCGGAGAAGTCCCAGGGTGACGGGAACCAGCCACCCTTCCACCTGTCACCTTCGTGGGGCCAGCGGAGGTACTCCTGCCTTCCCAGGCCCCCCTTAGCCCCCTGACAGTGGCAGATGTGGGCCGTCCAATCCCACAACCCTGTGCGGCCCGGGATGCCACTTCAAAGCACTCAGAAACACTGATGTCTTTCTGACGGCGACGGTTCTCATTGGCTTGAGGACCTCTCCTGTGCCAGGAACTCAAAAGGCTCTAGCACCCTGACACTGACAGCAGCCCCGGGGCAGCCTCCCCTTTGAGGCCTCGCCATCTTCTTAGACTCCGGCAGCCAAGCCTGAGCCAGGGACGAGACTAGGCGGTTTCTTTGGGAACAGGAAGAAACACAGGCAGTTGAGCAGAGAAGTTGGGGAGTGGTGGGTGTCAATCAAAGCGACTGGGGAGGCTGAGGCAGGAGGACTGCAAGTTCAAGGCCAGCCTCCGCAACTTAGCGAGGTCCTAAGCAACTTGGCAAGACCCTGTCTCTAAATAAAAAGTAGAAAGGGCTGGGGATGTGGCTCTCAGTGGTTAAATGTCTCTGGGTTTGATCCCCAGTACCCGCCCCCGCCCAGGGAAGGGAAGCCTGATTCTGTTGGGGGTAACTCCAGCAAATGGTGTAAAGCACACATCTGGGTGTCACCGTCCCCAAGGGGTGAGGGAGGCAGGGAACGTATTCGCCAATTCAGCCCAACACTGGCTACAGGTGCGGGGGGTGGCACGGGTGCCTGCCAGGGCTGGCAGTGTGGGGGACCGCAAGCAGAGAAAGTCACACACAAGGGCATGCTGTTTCAAGCGGACACGGGAGAGGCCAGAGTCCCACTCAGCAGATACAGAAAGCCTGGAAGCATCCGACCAGGGTCCCAGGTGCCAGGCACCTGGGCCAAGAGGAAGCGGGTCTTCCCAGCCCCCAAGCCACACAGGCAGGCTGAGAGGCGCCCTCTCTCCACACCTCCCTGGAACGCTTGTGGCTTTAGCTTATTAGAAGCAAAGGATTATCAGCTCCTACGACCGTCCCCCTCCTTCTCCAGGGCAGCCTGATCCCGCTTCCCAGCCGGCTCCTGGCTCTGCAGGTCCTGCTCACCCCCTGGCCCGCCGGACCCCAGTGTTCAGGGAACAGAGTGGAGGCTGGACCTGGCGGTGCAGCAGGGGCCTGCATGCAGGGTGAGCATGCAGATGCCCTTGTCGGCCTGTTTCTTGTCCAGGAAATCCCCCTAGCTCAATTGGGGGGCGGGGGACATCAATCAATTTACATGGTAACGGGAAGGGACAGCCAAATGGAATCCCCCTCTGCCTGGCAGGGCACAGCCTGCGGCCTACACGCTCGCTCTCGCGGCCTACACGCTCCAAGGGCGCAGCTGAAAACCCCGGGGGATTTGTTTTTCTTTCTCTGACCCGGGGACTCTGATCTCTCACTTAACCTCTGACCTCCTCAATTCAGATCACCAGGGAACTGGCAGCTGGGGCTGGGGCTGCTGCTGCGAGTGGCAGCCTCTGGCCTGGGCCGGGCTGGGCTGGAGGGGAGCTGGGGGAGGCCGAGGTCCAGGGCAGGGTGGAGCTGCGGCTGCAGACCCTGCCCCTAATCCTCCCCCGCACAGGGGGCCCTCCTCCCAGACGTGCGCGCCCCTTAGACCTTCCAGCACAGGTGGCTGGTGCAAAAATCCAGAAAATTAGGGCAGAAATCCAGTTAGACTCTGCCCTAACTCAAAGGCCTCCGCTGGGGCTGGCTTCACCAAAGACCTCCGGCCTCCCCACCTCGGCCTCCCCACCCGCGCCGCACAGCACCCCCACCCCCACCCCAACAGCCCGTTGTTCCTTGCAGTGACTGAGCCGGGATGAGGACTTGTTTGAAATTGAATCAGCCATTTTTATTAAACCATATATTTTCATTCCTGCCAGGCTCCCTGTAGAACGCTCCCTGCATTCCCGGGGCTGAGGCCTGATCTCCTCCCACAGCCTCCCAGGCCCCCTCCTCTCTCCGGGGGGCTGGGCCCAACTCTGCAGGAAAACCCCAGAATCACAGAGTCTTAAAGGCCCCCCCAGGCCCCGCCCAAGTGCCCCAGGTTTGCAGCCCTGGCTGCCACCTGGCCACACACGGCGGAGGCCCGGGCTGGAGGACCACTCTATCTGGGTGTCTGCTGGGGCTCTGGCAGGAGCTGTTCCCCGCCCGCAGACCAACACTTCTGCAGCGCTCCCCTGCAGCCTCCGGGCCCAGATGCGCGTGGGTGGCCTCCCCGCGTTCTCCAGGTCCTGGCGGGTCCATGCACTGACTTATTCTCCGTCTCCTTGGACGGGCACCTGGCGCGGGCGGCAAGTCAGCGCGGCAGTCCAGACTCCCAGGCTGCACCTACCGGGGGCCTCCTGCGGGGGCGGAAGGCCCTGGAACCCAGCCCCGCCCTCGCCAGAGCCAGCCCTCGAGGGCGCGGTGCCGCCCGGGGAGCGCCGAGGCTCCGCCCACCCCGACGCTCTGCTGGGATTGGCCGGAGGCAGGCCCAGGTGTGCGGGGGGGGCCTTTGGAAAGGCTCCTGGGTGTTTGGAAAGGAGCCAGCTCTGCCCAGGGTGGATGCCAGGAGGCGCGGGATCCAGCTCCCGGCTCAGTTCGGCAGGCTTCCTGTGCACAAGACGTCAGCAGAGCCTGGCCAAGGTCTTGGGAGGGGAGAGAGGGGAAACTGGGACAGTCCAGACTGAGGCCACTCACCCCGGAGAGGCCGGTGAATGGGAAGGTGATGGGTGCTGGGGGTGGGGGGTTAGGAGGGAGCGAGACCCACACAAAGGAGGCCAGCGCACTCAAGGATGCTGACCAAGGGACTGAAAGTGCCACCTTTAGCCTCCAGCCTAAGACGAGCACCAACATAGCATGACAGCACGCTGGGCAGGTTCGTGGGTGCTGCTGGTCGGGCTGCCTGGACTCCTGGGTACTGGACGCAGGAACCTGGGTATTCGTGGCAGGCCAGGTGCAGGAGGGGTGTGCAGAGCCTAACAGCTCAGCTCAGTTCTGCATCGTCTCCCGCCTGGCCTCGTGCCCCCTCTCCACGATGTCCTCCTCGGTCCACTTTCTCGTTGTCCCATCTGCTGCACAGCTGGGTTGCTGCTGAATTATTTGGGTTCAAACAGCAGAAACCCACTCAAACTAACTCAAGTCCAGCAGGACAAAGGCTGGGGAGGAACCAAGAAGGAAACCCAGCCGGGCTCCTGCAGGCTGAGGACCAGAGACCGTGGAGACTCCAGGGCAGGAAGAGGCCTTTCTCGTCTTTGAACTTCTTTCCCTCTGTCTGTTCTTCTGTCTCATCACATGATGCGGCCACTTAGTATGCACCAACACAAACAGGCTTCGGCCTCTGTGTCTCAATTCCTGATTCTCAGGGAAGAACCATCTGATTGGTAAGCAATAGAAGATCCGATTCAAACAGGCTTCAGGGAGGAAGAAAACCTAAATTTACTGACACAGAAAACTTAAAAAGTCCATGTGGGCTTCAGGCATGGCTGGACCTGGGGGCTTACACCTGTCACTACCTTGGCCCTATGTTGTGCCATGTTGTTTCTGTTCCCAGCAGGTTACCTGTAGGGTCAGCACCTCTGCTTGTGGGATCCCAGCAGCAGGGGGTGCTGGTATCAGAGAAAGAGCCCTGGATGTACAGATGTGTGCAGGGAACCTCGAATGACACCCATGGGTGCCCCCACCCCAAGAGCTCCAAACAGAGCGGTTTCCTGATACCAACCTGGGAACCCACCTCCAGGGTCCCTCTGGGCGGCGGGGAGCATCTGGGAGTGGCAAACAGGGAAGGGGATGCAGGCCATGCTCTCAGCTGCCCACGGGCGATGTGACCAGGTGACAGCCTTCTGGCCTCCGTAGGAGTACGATAATACTGGAAAGCCATTAGCAGAGGCACGTGGGCATCGAGGACCACTGTGCCACCTTCTCTGTCCCACCAGGAGAGGCAACGGGAGCAACAGCAGGACAAAATGTCCTGCTGACCACCCTGGCACCGTCTCTTGCTGCCCAGACAGGGAGGGGTCTGGCTGTGGACCTCCTTGCTCCTGCAGGCAGCCACCTGGGCATGGCCTATCTGCTGTGTCACCTGAGGCAGGTCATGCGATTCTCTCAACCTTGGGGCCTTGCATTCACTCATTCCGCAAGTCACCTGGGGCACTGACCGCCCGCTGAGGACAGAAACCAGACAGGCCCCCGCACCGCGGAGTTTATATCTAGTGGAGAAATAGGGTCAGATACACACACTCCATTTCACACAATCAGCACTGGGAGAAGTCAAAACAGGGCGAGGAGGTGGGGAGAGGGGTCTGCTGGTGACAAGGAGCTTGGAGCACCCTGGCATCTGTCACCCAGCCAGGGAGAAGCAGCCTGCCACACAAAGACCTGGAAGAGCTTCTCAGCCAACGGGAAGGGCATGCAGGGAAGCCCCAAGGCAGGAGCAGCGTGCATCTCAGCTGCAGAAGGGCCAGAAGGGGCTGGACTGAGCAGCCAAGGACAGGAGACCCTGGAGGGACTCACAGGGGTCCCTGGCTGTTTCTGTGCTGACCTCCTGCGGGGTCAGCGCAGGTTGGGAAATCCAGGCCACCAGGAGGCTGCTGCTGCTACCCAGGTGGCTACCCAAGGGCTACCCGGTAGCCCTTCCCTCCTGCGGCGGCAGGGATGGGAATTGGTGGTCAGAGAGCTGTTTGAGGGCCTGTGATTGAGGAGATGGCCTGGTCCCGGCTGCTCCGGTGAAATCCAGCCCAGCAGCTGCCGGGATCCACGTCAGCGGGTGCTGCTGAGCCCTGCGGCTGGCCCCGCCCCCGGGGGAGGGAGATCCTATTTCGTGACAGATGAGACATTGGGGACGAAATCCGAGGGCGTTGAAAGGTGCAGCCGCTGGCTCTGTCGCTTTTCCAGCGCTCGGTGGGCGGGGCCTCAGCTGTGAATAAGGATTTCGTGGAGATCTTGGGCCCGGAGGGGGTGGGGCGGGCTGTCATAAATCTAGCAGGCGGTCCCGAGCTTCCGCTGAGCACATGGCACAGAATCTCTCCTTTCACCTGAGATGCACGCCCACCCGCCCACCTGTCCACCCACCCACCTGTCCACTCACCTACTTATACAGATGCCCAAGCTGGGGCCGGAGCAGCGGCCAGGTGGATTCAGCGGGTGGGCCACTTACTAGCTAGGGACCTCAGGGGACCCGCCTCCCCTGCTCTGAGCCTCTGAGTGCAAACACCGACCTCTTAGGACTATTTGAGGATTGTTGAGACACTGCCCAGAAGGGACAGAGCTCAGGGCCTGGCAAGTACCCACAAGTGCTTGTTCCACGTGTCAGGGAGCAAAGGCATGACCCCAGGGTTCAAAATGCAGTCAGAGCTCCGTAAGGAGCTCGCCGTTCAGGACCTGAGTGACCACAGCGTGGAAGAGTAAAGTTTATTAAATCTTCTGAGGGGCACAGAAGAGCTGGCACGGCAGGCAGCCTCGGGGACTGGGAGTGACATTGGCATGAGCCATCGAGAATGGGTAGGGACACACT